AGATCCACCTCGGGTGATGCTCTTACAGGGGGAAACCTGAAACAACGCCAGCAAAACGCAAGTACCGTGACGGCTGTGGTGGGCGCACTGCCCGCTCCGATTAATGCATTTTTGATATATTTGGCAATTATCTCCAGCAGCAGCACTCTAAGAGGATTCTGTTTTCTTTCATTTACGTCTGTTGCTGTGCAAAGTCCACGTACACATTGGGCACATGTTTGAGACCCACTGATGCTCCGGGCAGTTACGTGGTGGGACACAGAAAGTCTGATTGCTAACAGCGATACACGATGGGTTGGAGGTACCTGGTTGCCACGTGAAGGAGCTTTGAAAAAGTACAAAGATTGGATTCGAGCTAGTGGTACTCATTCTGTATATACTGAATTTTCTCCTGTTTGTGTGGCAAATCAGCAAATACCAGATTGCCTGTATTTAGAAGAAAGATTTCACCTCTTTTATCAACAACCAGAGACTAAACGAGATGCAGTAGGTGAGCTGACCTTTATCTCTATCCCTGGTGTAAGCCGTGAGAACGTGAGCCAAAATAGCACCCCACGACCCCGTGTCGGGTGTCTGGTGTGTAAAATTCACCAAGGCACAGCAAGCGATGTGCGAAATTTGTACTGGTCGCCAAGCAGATCAGACGTCCCTCCATCACAACAGACGAACGATTTACTATCTGGGGACTGGGGTCCAAGGACACTTACTCACAAATTCTTCAAATCCAATGAACTTCAGGGCTCTAACAAACGAACCTTTGAACTGGTCTGAGGGTGGTCTGTCGGGACCTGGTGTGCAGGCACAAACCAATGATGCTCTCGGCCCCTTTTTCACGAGGCTTTGGCGGTTAGCACTGCCATGTCAAATATGACACGTGGCACATGGAGATGACAGGAGGGCGAATGGAGGTGTGTAGAGTCTTGATTTAACACAGTTTCACAATAATTCAGTCATGATATGCACATCACACACTTACATGCTTGCTGCAGCTCCTTATGCACACATTAGCATGGAAAATCATACATTTGTAGATAGCCTAAATAATCCTCTGTATTTTCACTGTATATCGAAGCAGCCTTGCAGGACGTGGTACATGTGATCTTAGAACGGAGTTTGGGCAGAAGCAAAGGTCAGCCAGTGGACACCGTGATGAAAAGTACGCACCGTCATCAGAAGACCCCGGACAACCAACAGACATGCACGAAGGATAGTCATATATGCCAATGAGTTCTCGAAAAAAACATGAATATGATGAGCATTTCTCAGAAATGTAATGAATATGTATGTTCAGATAGCATAAATACCCAGTAGTTGTGTCTTTTTGGCACGCACATCTGGGCGGAGCCATCCCCCGTGCGTCCAGCGCTGCAACGAAGAATGCCCGCTTTCTAAAACCCCAAACTGCAGTTTTAGAGAGTGAATGATTTTGCCGCTTTCCGGTAACAGATTTTGGCACCCCAGATGGGACCCTGCTCCGGAATATCGACGGATCCGAGGGATCGCAGGTCCTCCGGCCGGCACCGAGGGATTCTCGGGGAGAAGCTCCGATCCCCGGACCGCAGAGTTCTGAGCAAGCTCCATCAGCGAGGTAAGGGCGTTCTTCCAGTGCTGTTTCCCGTTGGCTGCCTGTGAGTCATGGCGAAAGCTGCGCGGGGTTGGGCTGTGTCCCCGGGGAGAAGGGAAAATACCCTTCCCAAAATAGAATGGAAGAAGTCATCTCCTTCCTGAAGCCAAGGCTCGGGAGTTTGTCTGTTAAAGGTTGAATACAGTTGTGATTATAATTGTGCATTGTTGTTGTTAACAGTGATAATTACTGTAAGTCCCTGTCTGTCTGTGAGTCTCGGTGTATTTGGAATATTTGGATTTATGTTGCCAACTCGGTGTGCGTGTGCGGTCGCGACTGCCGTTGTGTGGGTTTGTGTGCGTGTTGTCAGAGTGTTTGTGTTTCTGTGAGCTAACGGATTTAATTGGTGTCTGTGATCTCACGGGTTTGTCTGGATGAAGTCACTGCTTTCGTGCCTTTCGGTTTGGTGAGTTCTGCAGGTACTGATGATTTCTGGGTTTTGACCTTGGGCTGTTGTATCTGGACTCTGATTTATCGGGGCTGCGGTTTATCATCTACTGATCCGAGATCTAAAGAAGACCGAAGCCAAGGTACTTGCTGCTCTGGTGGTGAACCCATCTTTCCAAAACAAGAACTGGGGAGATGACGGAGCTGTGCCCAACGTACGGCAGATCGACCAAGAATGAGCATGGAGAGCGGAGCAGGGCACAGGGGCAATAGTCATCGTGTGCAAGGAGTGGACAAAAGGGTCGAGCTGGAAAACCGTCCGGAGCACCCGGCCGGCTGGATGTGACCCAAGGCTGTCACGAGGGGTGGTTGCGGGGAAAGGGAACGCTCGGATCAGGGAGTGTGAGAAAGGAGGGGTCCTCCTGCTCGGCCGCATAGCTCCGGCTCCTATCTGTGGACATAAATCACTTGCTGGACTGTTTTGCAAGGTCACTCGCTGTTTGTTCGTTAGCTCGCTCGCTCATTAGTTCGCTCGCTCACTTGCTTGGCTTTGGAATAAAGGAAACTTGCCTTGAGAAGAGAGAAAGTCCGACTCATTTCTTCACCACATTTGGTGATTTCAGTCGCCGCATTGGGCTGGTTTCTTCACTGTGTTTTCTAATTGGTACCAATTTTCCCTGCCTGCTTGGAGTGCTGGTTGCAGCTGAGAGTCTCAAACCCTCTGTGGGGCTGGGGAATTCTGCCCTTGTTCTGGATGACCTGCAATTAGCACAGGAGGAACCTACGGCCGGCACCCAGCTTCTGCATTCCCTGCTTGATTACGTGCTCTTCATTACAGCATCCCGTTTCTAGTACCTTTAACAGGCAGACTGCAGCATGCAGAGCTGTCACCTGGGGGTTGTGCAGACTGGGAGGTCGGTTTGAGCTGTGAGAGCAACAGAGGTCAGCTACGGCGCTTGGGTCCGGGTGTCTCGGTGGGGGTCTCAGCCGAGGGCTCGGGGCTGTGGGTCAGACAGCTCTGCGGATGCTCTCGTGGCAGCCTCCACCTTCCAGAAGGAGGTCAAAACATTTTCCACCAAAGGCATTTTCTTCACAAGTGTTTATTTGTGAATGGCAAGGGCTGTAATTTCTGTTGCAGGTCTGAGACAACGCTTGCTTATTTATTTAAAAGGTTTTTATTTTGCATTAGGAACCTCACCAATGGTTTTATCCCTCTGTTTGCAGCATGTTTGTCCCCATTGCTTGGAGCTGCTTGGGGTAAGTCGGACGTTGGGTGCATGGGATGCTTGTTCAGATGCTGGCGGGTGTCTGCATCCGAGAACGAACCATTCAGCTTCCAGCCACAGCCATTGCCATCGCCTGGAGCAGGTTTTGCTGTTACACCATCACCTGAGTTCCTCCCCTTCCATTCTAAGTGTTGGAAAGGAGGGAGAGAAACCAGTAAGCTTTTCTGTCACCTGCCACTTCGGACTCCACGGACCACCCGGCCCTGTTCTAGCAGGGGCTTCTCAACAGCTCTGTCAGAGTAAAGCCAACGGTGCAAGCCCAGCTCCGTCACAGGGATGTGCACCTTATTGGTCCCTCTGGTTTTTAATTTGTGCATCACTAGAAAGAGCATCTAGCCATACACTTGCTCACTCACCTCAAGGGTCTGCTTCCCTTGACCATCAGAGATTTTACAACAGCTAGATTTGCTGAAGGGTGGAAATAACTTGGAAGAAATTTGTGTGGAAAAAAAGGCAGAGACAAACCTTTATTCGCTTTATTAAAAGAAGTGAAAATACACAAATATTTTATCCAAAATACATATATCTATAAAACATAATATAATTTAATTGACACCATAGAAATAAATCCATGCTGATCTAAGCACTCCTATCACCACCATTAACTTTAGAAATAACATTAATTCTCAAAGTGGTATATGCTCAGATCCTTACAAAACTGTGGTTGCCAGATTAACACTGATCTCCCGAAGCTGCAGGTAGAGTAAAATCTCAGGATGCTTTTCTCCGTGCTTGCAAGAGGTTTGGGGCAGAGGGCTAAGCAGACCTCACCGGGGGATCCTCCGTGCGTGAGCGCATGTGCTTGTACCCCTTGCTGGTAAGTGATCTGCACCTACACCGCGGAGCTCAGGCAGAGCTTAGGAGGTGGAGATGGTGTGAAAATGCCTTTTGCAGTTCATCCTCATCTGGCTTCACACCAGCGGCACAGGCAGCTCTGTACCAGAAAAGTTTTGCTCGTGTAATGACGTTGCTTAATCCTCTTTGCTGGAGATGGGTGTTAGACGGGTGAGATTTCCCCCATACAGCTGTGTCCCCTGAGGTAAAACGCCTCTTCCAGCAGCATCAGCTGTGCACTGGGTCTACACACGGGTTCTTGCTCTTCCAGACCTGTTATCGAGAGTAACACCCATTCCGTGGAGCTGACGTGACACCAGCAAAACTCTCCAGCAGAAACTTTACCTTAAACCTGAAAAGTTACAGACCCCCCACCCGCATCGCTAGAGCGTGAGCCGTCCCCCCTGACACTGGTCCCCTCGGCTCTTAAGGAGCGAAGGGAATAAATCCATGTCCCATCGCGACGTGTCGCTCCATGCTCACGGTGCAACCCCCGGGCTGGGCAGGGCTTCAACAGGGCGCGGGGCCAGCCGGCTGCGTTCGCTCGCGTCCACCCGTACTCAGTCTCGCTGCGACCGCTCAGAGATGAACGCGACCTTTTCAGAAGAAACCGAAAGGTTTTCTGCCTAGCCAGGTCCTTCCGCAGTCCCCGACGGAATTTGCTTCGTCAAGCGTTTAAATTGTCACCCAGAAATGCAAATGAGGTTTTGCCAGCGATGCTTTCAGAGGTGCCAAACGCGAACCAGTACAGCACCACTGACACTGGAGATGTGCCCTGCCGGACTCTAAGACAAAGGAAGAGTGCTTTTCAAGCAAAGAAACGTTTTACTGCTCGTTTAAATTTACAGAGATTCTAGAAACTTATAACTCTACGCCCTCGCGTGCCGTGATGCTTTTCGGATGAATGTCATCAGCTTTTCTATGAATAGTGTTGCTTGCTTTCTTTCTGTATCACATTCCCCCTGAAAAGTCAATCAAGAAAATGAAATTACTTAATATTTAACCATTATGTAGAGCTCTTACATCTTGAAGTCATTTTATAAATGATATGATTTTCCTTAAACCTTAAATATGTCGCTCACATGTATGAATCCTTATTTTAGAGGTGGGTCGAGCTTAAGACTAGAGCAAGGGAAGGGCAGAAATGTGAAATAATGCCAGGATTTCTTCTTCCATCTACTCAACACAAGCTAGTATCAAAATTATTCTCTTTCTTGTAGATATAAGGGCTTAGCTATGAATTATGGATCATATTTTATTACATCTTTGCTGCACAGTCTCTGACAGAAAAGAAAGAAATTCCTACCTCTTTTGCTAGGCTGTGTCTGAATGATTGCTTCATTCTTTCAAATTTTTGGAAGAAAACAGCAAACCTTTTCATAGCTGGATTAGTTTTCAGCTGATCCGTTCCTTCAAAGATTGTGCTGACACAATTCACATCCTAAGATGTAAGAAACAGCAAAGCTGAGATAGAAGAGTTTGTAACCATGAACTACAATGAGTTTATTAAAAAATCATCTTGCGTTAAGTCCAGCTGCCTGCGTGGCAATTAAATTGTTACTGCCTTTTGGGCTCGTCTTTGCAAGCCGCTCCGGCACACAGGCTCAGCTGACGTGTGCCTCGATTTACTCTGCAGACAGAAACCTGGCAGGTGACAGTTTCCCTTAGAGTATGTTGTAATCTCCAGCTGAAGCGTATAATTATCTAAATGCTTAGTCCTATCTCCTCTGCAGCCATCTGAAGGCCAGTCTGATTTCTCACATCTGCTCGCGCCAGCAGATAATTCTGCTTTATGTCTTCAGCTGGGATGCGAGATGCTTTCAGCCCCGGAAGCTGGAGCTGTCTGAACATGAGAGAAAGAAAATAAATGAACCTGAAATGACTCCAGACATCAGCCTCCGCGAGAGCCGACATCTGCGGGCTGGGAGAGAGGGGGACAGCGGCCACGCTCTCATCTCGCAGCCCTGCTTGACTTGTCCCCTCCCAAGGGCGACCACGCGCCGGACACGCTGGTCCTCTGCCACAAAGCTGGCGTTTGGCTCCAGGACCTTGGCGTCCAGGCAAGGTGGCCAGAAGGGCTACAGAGGGTGCGGCGTGGAAGCAGAGCAAAGGGCAGTGATGGCCGCGCTTGCCAGCATGGGGCTGTTTTGGAAGAGCTCAGCTAAACTCACAGAGAAGGAAAAGCAGGAGAGGACACGACCGTCAGCAGCAGGAACAGATTGAATTGTAACAGGAGAAGAAAGTGATGAAAAATCAAGCAAAAACCAGCCAGCAAAGGTCAGAGGAAATGCAGGCAGCTGCCAAAAGCCAGTATCATGCCCATGACGTTCTTGACCTGGACGTCACTCCTGGACGCCACTTGACAAGGAAGATCATTTTCTCACAGCCGTGCTTGGGATGCTGCTGACTTCTGCCACTGATGAACAACAAACACAGAAATGCTGGGAAATTCTCTGTTGTCTCTGTATCAGAAGCACAGGTGAGGGCGAAGCAGCTCTTCTCCCCGAGGAGAGCCGGGCACCGGCACGGGGGGCTGCGCTGGGACCACCGGGGACCTCGGCATGGAGAGGGATGAGCCAGCTGCCGGCTTTCGGCACCGCTGATTCTGGGTCTGCTTCCCTTATTGAAACCTCGGGGCTAAACCCAGCCCAAGCCCCAGCCCCAGCCTGGGAAAAGAGCTCCTCCAGGCAGGAGCCAGAGAGAAGTGACAGAGCTGGGAACCTGCCAGCTGATTGACAAGGAACGGGCTGGCTTTGCCACCTCCTGTCTGTAGCTAGCTTAGGGCACAAGCGTGAATGATTCTGCTCGTTCGGTCAGTTCATGACTCGGACTGGGTTCCCCCAATCTGGCCGTGACGGTATCTGCGGAGCTCATGCTGAAGCCAGGCTTCCAGCGGATGCGCAGCAGACAAAAACCTCAGCAGCAGCAGCGGCATCCCGAGGGAGCTGGTTAAAGGCAGCTCGCAGAGACAAGAGCCTTTACGCTGAGAGGGAATGGGCGAAATCTGTTGGGGATGCCCAAGAAGGTGGCAGATGCGTAAAGCGGAGTTGAATCCTCCTTTTAAGGCAGCCCTTGCTCACGGACCCGCGGCAGCTGGTGTCTTCTTCCCGGGGCGCGAACACCACCCGTCAGACGAGGAGTGGTAGCACAGCTAGTTAATCCCCTTGCTGATGGCAAAGGTATAAAAAGCCATTTCTAAAAGTAGACCAAATGAGATAGACTAAAAAGAAGTATTTTTGCAGACAGATAAGCAAGAAACGTGAAGGAGCTTGTTCTTTCCTTTTTAACTGGCCGTCGTTTCAGAAGCTGACTCAGAAAATCCCTCTCTGCGCGTTTGTGCTCTGCAGGAGGTTTGCAGAAATATAGAACAAGAATAATTGCTGTCCTTGGCTACTTTTATATCACAGCGTATTTTTCTTTGGCTCAACTTTTGGTTGTTTTTGATAACATTTTATATCTTACAATAACATTTAATATCTTTAATAACATTTCATATCTTGTAGTAGCTACATTTGAAGTAATTGTTTGCTCTTAAATACGAATAGAGTATTTTAGGAGCTAACAATTTTAAAACTATCTGAGTTTCCAATGACTCAATTTATGAAAAAGTTAATTTTACTTAAAAAAAGGAGTCTTACTTACATCTATGTTGTCTGGAGTCTCGATCCTCAGATTCTGAAAAATAACATTAATTGAGCCTTTCAAATATCATCCTCATTAGCACTAAGAAAAATAAAAAGTCAGGTAAATAGATTGTTTGACTTTCAAAAAAGCTGAATACTCAGGAGCAAGAGGATTCGGTGTACCACATTTTAGATGAGTAAAGTGGAAATTGAGCTTACCTGAAGGTCCTTCGCCACTGCCTCCCGCATTTGCTGCACCAACGTCAGTAACTCAGCCACGCTGCTCATCTGCACAGCTGCAGACGCCCGCCGCCAGCACGAGGAGGTAGAGATGGGTCTGCATCCTCCCGATGTGCCCAGAGAACCTGTCAGTGCTTCTGGACCAGTCCCCTACCATTTTATGGTCTCTCTACGAGGAAATAACGTTTTTAGCTTGATTTTTGAAACTGATAGAAAAAAAGCTATTTGCTGAGACTTTCTGGAAAAGAAAGGTTCCAGTGAATTTGGTGTTTAACCTTGGGGCACGCTCCTTACCCAATCAGCACTTCCACAGAAGTAGGTAGTGAAGATAAAAAGACGTGGCCTTTCAGTTTGAGAATCAGTCAAATGTAGAGCGACCCAACGCATGACCAAGCGCTTGCCATCTCCGTGGCACTTCTCGAGAAACCCGAGCCCCTCCGGTAACAGCGTGCGATCTTCTGATATGCAGCAGCAAAAAGGCTGCGGTGTAAGGAAAAAAAAACAACCCGAACTCCATGGTAAATATGTGGACCACTGCCTAGAAAGGGAAAACGACGGCGTTGGTGTGATACTCGTGGCAAAATTTTGCCAAAATGCAGGTACTCTGTGAGAATGAATTCATGCAGAGCAGGGGAAGCCGCTGCCCCGGCGCCCGCGCTGGAGCGGGAGGGT